AGAAAGGCATTTGAAAAGAGCTTAAGTGCTTCGAGGTAGACGGATACTAAAAAGACCACTGCGACGGATGTAAATGTCTCAATCAAATGTGGGTGATATCTCCCACATTTTGATTTAATTCACTATCCATTGCATCCACTGACTTTGGGCCATCTTTCATAACCTATTGCCAAAATGCTGCCCTCATACCTGCCTCAGAAATTACCACCGAAATGGCGAGTGTCTACCTTGCCAACAGCACCCAAGAAATTGAGTCTGCTAATTAGACATTGCTAGCTGAAGTCGATGGAGTGAAATACATCAACTCGTCAAATTTGCAGCGCATTATTGACCAAAGTAGGTCAGTACTTCGCGATCCTTCACATGCTACTCCCTCCAGGATGAAAGCAGAGAATGTAGAGTGGAATGAGGAACTACTGTGCGGAAGCGGTTCTGCTGCATTGAAAGAACTGCAAGAGCGTGTACAAGCAAGCATGCATGCATGTATGGAGACTAGCAGAGCGGACTGAATTTATTGCATTCTAACTGGAATGGAGTGATGATTGATGAGTGCAATGGACACGACAGTTGATGGAGGTGCAGTGAAGAGGAATGCAACAACAGACGAGACACAAGAAAAGCTGTTCACTTACCTTGACTGAGACAGACGGCACAGAGTAGCATGAAAGCCAGAAGAATGAGCTTGGTCATCGCGACCCGATGGTGTGATCAACTAGCCTTGAGTAAAGGCGGCCTCTTATTTGTATAAACAATCCTCCCGTGCTTAGTTATTGGGGTCATGACTATAGACTTCAGTGAGTGCAGTCTGTTGGCCCTGGCAACAATGAGTGATGCAGGTCACAATGCTACAATAAAGCGCCCTACGCAAAAGCACACCTGCGTTCTTTATTACGGTTAAGTGGAGTGGATTACAAAATAAGTAGTACGTCAATTCTAGCAAGAATTATGTAGGATAATGTTGGAATAGGACTCCACTTTAGTGGTGGACCTGAATACTGGGGCTTGCCAAATATCCATTCTTCTGGAGTTTATCCAGATTTACCTACTAATCAGGGCCATGATACTTCTTGCCCAACAAATTTGTCAATCGAAATGTGGCAGTAGGTGGCTCTTCTCCTTCGACGTCACAGGGTGCTGTAGAAATGTGGGCAGTGCTCTTTCATATGTGGGCAAACGGGCTGGCGGATCCTCAATGGAAGATAACATGATATTGAGTGCGGCGTGACACACCAACGTTGACAGGCTTTTCGTAACGCTAAAATGTCTAAAAGGCAGTTCAAT